TAGATGTATAAAACTAACCAAAAATCTTGTGTCTACTTGTGGTTTGACCTGTATAACCTTATCATTTCCTTCTACTCAATAAAGAAAAACTTAATGCATTTTATAGATAGTTAAAAAAGAAGCTGGACGTACCTATAAATAGAATGTTTTTAAAATTTTTACAAATATATTTTTTTCTAAAGTTGTAGGTGGTTTACCATATTTGGTTATTTGTACATACAGAATATACTGAGTCATACCTTTAAAAGAATGAAGCACAAAAATTTACAGTGAATACCGTTGGTTAGTGTAACATTATCAATAATTAGTATTAACATTAAGGAAGTAGTTTAAAGCTAATTTTTTTTGTTAAAACTACATATCAATTAGAAAACTACTCAATCAATACGTTTTATTATTAAATTAAGAACATCTTGTCAATTCATGCTCAAGCATGTCAAGAATGAACAGTCTCAATAACTCATCAATGAAATCGAAAAAAGATTGTCAAGTATCATAGTGTTGGATAGAACTATTTAACTTACTGACATTACAGAACATATAGTTGACTATAAATCTACATTGATTTGATTGTTAATGATCATAGGAATAGAATTTTAATTTAATACTTATTTTCACTAATAACAGCTTGGTGTAGTGAAATCGAGTTTAATGTACAAATAAAAGATATCATTTTCTGTTTAACGATATATTACAGTTAACGATTGAGTTATACAACAGTGATAAATAATTTTAAGTTAATTCATACTTTTCGTAATTATAATATGCGTATAATATTCCCATACTCATTGATCAAGTAGACACATGGTATCGAATTTTCTTCATACAATTTACTGTTATGATCAAGCTTAAATTCATAAATCCTTAAGATATCTATAGCTTTAAGCTTAAAATACCAAGAAGTTATAATTGTCCACAAACCTCTAATAACACTCAAGTCCACCTTGTTTACTATCAAAACCCTTTTTCATTTCCTTGTATTTATTATATCCCTGTAATGAACTCTTCTACAGTGTTTTCCCTTTCTTACTCACTTCACACTAATGTTAATCACGTAAGTAAGCACATTAGAAGTTATTTCAGGGCACTTAATGTCTGAACTATATATCAAATTGGGACAACAGGTTTTGCAATGAATGACACAGATGCATTCAATCTTTATCTTTTTCTTTGGCCTTAAGTTCCAATGTGTTACTTTATACAGATCTTTCTATTATTTCTGCTTAAATTATACTTCTAATACTCTGTTTTAGCTGGTATCATTATTACTGTCGTTATTTGGATTCTTTTGTTATTTGTCTTGTTAATTTTGCTTCGATGTCTTGATTAAAAATGGCTACGTGAATTAGAGCACATTCCCTCCATAATATATACTGATGACAACTGGTTAACCAATACTTAACTAATCATTACAAGCCCAGGAATTAATAATCAGACAGAATAGATAGGATGTATAGAATAGAATAGAATAAAACCTGTATATTTCAATTCATGTCTTAATACTCAATAGTAATTAGATTCCAATAGCTCAGACATTGCGCATATATGGGAATCAAATCAAAAATCTGCAAATTAGCATTGAAAATGTTAAAACTACTGTATCATATCCTACTTTTATGCAATCATTGAACTGTATTGATTTACAACAAAATATTCAAGCATTTGACAGCTGTTTCATTTTAATTTCTATTCAACAAATGAGATGGGATTATTTGGGAAATAATGATGAATCCATTCCCATTTGTCTTAGATACGTGTGAAAATTATGATGAACTAAAAAACGGATAGTGGTATTGATAATAATATTCATTTCATAACCAAATCTTATTTTTATCAATCCATTTCTAAAAATTTTATTTTTCATTAAATAATTGTTCTTCAAGTATGGGAAACAAATTTATTTGTTACTCTTTACTTGTAAACAGAGTCCTAATAAAACGGCTAAAATTAACACATACTAATTTGAGGTCATTTAATCTACTGAAATTCTCTATTTATATTGTCAAGATGAGCGTTATTGTTGTGAAAGAATTTACCTAATATAGGGCATGTTAACCCACTACTACTCATACCTAGCTGGTCACACAAGTTGAATTACTAAAGCACTATGTTAAACTTAAATTATCAGGAAATTTAACTTGAAAATCTCTAATGACAACGTACAATATCAACATGAATGCTTAAACTCACTAATACATCAAAGCGAAAATTTTATTTCAAATGAAATTACAACTCAAACCTGGTTGTTTTTTAACTGAATTAAATTACTCTGGTTCTAAAACAATCAAAGGTCGGAACATTGTTACTTTCTAACTTAAAACTCTTATTCTTTAATAATTCACAATTTTTTTCTTTACTTGAATAATCTCAACTATAGTGTAGTTTGTATGATTGTTTGCTGATAACAACTTGTAACACTATTTGTGATTAAATTAACCCAATTTATTTCCTTATAAAAAATTAACAGTGCCTAAATTTCATGTTAACCTGCTATATTTGAGTAAAGTATGATGGTTGTAAAACTTATCATACAAACAATATTATACTAATATTTATTGAATATTTAAAATGTTATTGACCTTTTGAATATTGAATTTTCAATAATTCATAGTGTATTATTTTTTGAGGAGACACCAAAAACCCCAAAATTATATGATTTCATGGTATCAATGTTTGTTTGAATAATATCATCGTTTTAAAAAAAAACAAAAAACAAAATTGGCTTTAAATTCAGCATGTACATCGCTAATCATCATCATCATCATCATCATCATATTTTTACAAATTTCTCCCCGTTTATTTTGTAAGCGTTAAACTAATTAGATTGATTGAATAAATGCTACACTAGACAAAATAACTATGAATTGTAATCAAAAATAACATTCTGTTTATATAAACAAACAATACATACATTGAATATTTTTTATTTCTTATTTACATGTATCATTGATGCAATAAACATTATTTGTTACTGTTTATTACAGACTGATATAAATAGATTTTTTGTTTTTCTGTTCGTTTAAAATTTTGGCACTTCAATAAGTGAAGAAAATATTGTTTAAAACTGTACATATATTTATATATATATACATATATATACATATACTTATATATATATATTTATATATATAATATTTTCGAAGAATGTCAATCTAAATTTCAAAAAATATCCAAGTATGTGTCAGCAGTAAACTGAACCCACACCACATCCCAAAATGATTATTTATTTATATCACTTAATCAAACTCCATACACAGAATATCAACTAATCTATGAATGAAGACCTAAATAAAGAATGAGTTATATTTCAATAATGTTATAGTTAGTATTTATCATTAATATAAGTCAAAATTATTTACACCTACATATTTCAATAATATGTAAATGAAATACACATCGCTCTTTTATTAGCTTGTTTTATCCTTGAACAGAGAATACTGATTGGTATTTACACACACTTGAAACTTGATATTTTCTTTCTCAGTGTCTTTTACATTTCGATGAAACTATTCAGTTTGTAGTCTACATTATCTGACTGACTTAAGCTAAACGCTTTAGTAAAAAGTATTGATTGTGTTATTCTAGTTTAAATATTCAATTATCAGTCAGTCAGTTACAACGCTGAACTTCCTACGTAAGTACATCAGTTCAGGTTGCCATACCACATTAGTGCAGAGACGCAATTGTCGGTTCAAATACCCTAGTAATAAAGGTAGCAGAAGTATAACTGGTAATGGACAAGATTAGGGTTCGAAGGTATTATTCAAGAAGTATGAGGAGATAAGTTTTAAAAGACAAAGGGAGAGGTGTTGACGAATCCAGAACACAACTAGTAGATGCACGTGCGCCACTACAAACGATTTTCAGCAATGTCACTCAAGGTCTCTAACCATCGATTACTATCATCTCACGGACCCCAACCAGGTGGCCTACATCTACCAACACGACTCAGTCCACTTATCAGTGACTTCATGGATTTCTGCCATGTTTTGGTTTGGCCACCCCAACCTACTCCTACACCACAAAACCGCTCATCAAGGCAGTCGGTAGTTAGGCATACGTAACACACGTCCGAACCACCTCAACTGATGAAGTTTCAATATTTGATCTGTTGATTTGTCATCCCTACCTAGTACTTGGTTCATAACGATAGCATTACTTACTTGGTCCCACGATACACGAGCAATGCTTCGGAGACATCTATGATCGAATACTAGTAACCTACGGATATCCTCTACTCTGACTGGCCATATTTTTCATCCGTACAGTAGGACGGAGCGAACTGCAGCGCAGTAAACCCGTCCTTTGGTCAACAGACGGACATCCTACCTACTCCTCAAATTGGCGTAAACCAGTCAAGCCTTCTGTATTCGAGCTGAGATTTCGTCAGTCACCAGGCTATCAGCACTGATGAGACTCCCAAGATGAGTGAAGCCGTCGACAAGCCCAACTACTTCACCCCCTATCACTAGTTCAGGTGCTGATGAAACCCAATCTTGAAGCAACATTTTGCATTTTGAGGGTGAGAATCGCATCCTGATTATGTTTGTATTGTTGCTTAGGGTAGTCAGAAGACTCTGTTTTTTGTCATCGTCTTCAACAAAATTCAATCATAACAAACAATAGACAGGAATTAAACAAATCCTAGCTGGAGTATATCTCTGCGAATTGAATATTGATGATCAAGCCCCTAAGAATTCAATTAAATTTATCAGTAAAAAACACAAACCTGATATATTGAAAATTCGTTATCATTTTCAGTAAACCGATTTGAATTAGAGTTCCACGAATTGAAAAAATGCTTAAATTTACGAAATTTCAACCGTTTGTTACTTTTTTTGTTTTTTAGTGAATGTTCGAATGAAGTTTTTGTTAATCAAGGTTATATTTAAATCTATTGAATTTCTCCAATTAATTTTAATACTGAAATATAATTATACACATTATTTAATTCTTCTCAACTATTTTTCTGTCTATTCGTTTGTTTTTTTCTAAAACAGAATTTACTATATCGATACGGGTATATGGATGATTTCTCCGAAACTCGTAATAATAACAATCATAATGGCAATCCTATATCACCAGATGAAAATCCTTTTGAACTTAAATTTCCTTATCCAGATAAAATATCTCTGACAAATCCACCAAAAGAATTGATCAGTGCAATTAAAAAATTTCAAATTCAATATAATTTACCTCTTACAGGTGAATTAGATGAAGCCACAAAAAATCTTTTAATTTCACCACGTTGTGGTAATCCAGATAAACAAACTAACATGAAACAGAATAATTCAAGATTTAAACGTAGCAGTACATTCCATTTCAATTATAATAATCATTCAATCAATGTACAAAATGCTCATTATAATAATAAAAGAAGATTCTTAAATAGACAAAAACGTTATTTAATTGGTGATGAGAAAATGAAATGGACAAAGAGAAAATTAACTTGGCAGTGTGTGAAATGTATTTTTAGTTGTCTTGTTTTAATTAGTGGATGTAATTTGTTTGTTATTTTTGAATTATTTTGAATCATTTAATCAAACATAACTTTTATATGTATATATAATTGATGAGCTAAATTACATCACTGTGTTGAGTGAAAATTTGAAATACACCTTCACGATAAGACATAAGTAATAGATTTCAGTTAGAAGGGACTTAATATGGCTTCTGTTTTTAGCCGGGCTGCTAAATTTGAATGATAACCAGAATTGAAATTTAATTTAATCATGATAAGTTTTTGTTGCAACTATTATTGAGATTATTGATTAATTTAAGTTTAATAATTATTAATGATCAGAGAATTTAGTCACAAAAGAACACCATTCTGGTGATTATTTAAATTAGATCGGTTAGTGATCGCAATAACACTCAATTTTCTCCAAAAGGCCTCAGACCAGTATTATCAATCTTTTCATTATATAGAATATGTTTCAATTTTATTCATTATCTACACATAAATGAACATGTAGATTAAAATGCTTATTTATCAGTTGAACAGTATGATATGGTAATTTCCCATACTGTACCCAAATAACTTTCATCTCTACATTATTGCTACTTTACTAAAGAACCTATTTACAAAGAAAAGAAATTATCATTGACTAGTATTCTTATAACATATTTCAATGCAAAGTACATTCAAAACTGTGAGCACCTAGGTTTTGTATTGGTTGACAACCGTCAAAAAAGAACCTCACTTGTCTTCTCGGAAAATAGTTCTCATTGAGTTCAAATGTCCTTTATCAAATAACTCAAATCCGAAAACATCACTACTGAATGAATTGGGTTGAAAATTCTGCAGTTGTAAATATGGGTTGTATTTTAATCCGAAAAATAAAGAATGCGATAATTTTTACTTTTCAAAGTAGATCTTCAGGTTTTAATTAGAAAGTGAATCTCACTAAGAAAATACAAGTTTGATATTCATCGCAAACAGTTACCATATATTTCTTAGTTCATTTTATTTATTCATTACAATATGATAATAACATCCAGGCAAATAAGACAGAAATGAAACTACTCATTCCTTCAGCAATCTAGACTGCTCATCATTAAAAAATTCAATAGTTTGGGTTTTGGATTAAAAGTTAACTAAATTTCAATATTTCAATTCAATTAAAAATAACTGTAGAGATAATTACTCATCTGCATATAGTACTACTTACTCAATTACAAATCAGTTAAATTTACATCAATAAACGTTAATTGCTGTACATTCTAAGTTCTAAAATTAACTTCTTAAGAAAACTATTTAAAGAATAGAGAATATGCTGTGGCACATCTACTGTCTGAATAAATCATGAAAAGTTGTCTTTTAAAACATTAGCTACCTGCATAACTTAATCAAAAATCGTCAATCAAACTCATCGATAAGCAGAAACTCAATTGTGGCCACTGGTAAACAGTGATTCCATAACATATGAAAGGCATATCGGAAATAACTAAATTATTGAAGCTGTTAGAATGTGACATGGATCATAAACCAGGAAAATCATTTAAATCAAGGGTATACAAACTAAAATATGAAATTACCAAAGAGGATAAGTATTTTTAGAAGCTTGATACAAAAGTTGGTAACTAATAATCATATCGAAGCAGACCTAATATGTCAACCAATCATAAATAACTATGGGACTAAAACTTAGTTGAAGGTGAAAGACAATCAGAATGAATGTCCAACTCTATGACAGAACAAGTGTTAACATGTATCAACTTAATTCACTCACTATCGATAAACCAAACTGTTATTCGTTTGCTAGTATATTGCCATAACTCACTTTTGGTCGAAGCTTATGGTAACGTTGTCCGAATAATAATCCAACTTCACCAAGAACTAGTATTATTCAATGAAAAATCATTGCAATATTCATCCTTGAAGTTTATTTTTTTTTTAAATTATGATCTCTCAATTGTATTAAAGTGTATTGTACTAATAAATAAACAGTTTGTTATTTGAACTTTTGTCTAAATATTAAGATTTATTTTGAAGTTTTTGATCAAATCATTATCATTCATCCTGTGTTGTTGATTATTGATTCATTGTAGAATAACAACCTAACCGGTCACATTCTAATAAATTTGAACTTATTCGATGCTTAAAACTGTATTACATTACATGTGTATTTTAATGCATAAAAACCGTGTTCTTAAAGTTCACGTGATTTGCATAATTATATTTTGAATTACACATATACTGTAGTACATTTGTCATTACGAAAAATAAATGTGACTTTATTCCTGCATATATATATATATATATATATATATATATATATATGTTCTGCCACTTAACGATTCACCCATCAATACATCCAGCGGTCATATAAAAATAAAATCCAATAATATAGTTAATATATTCATTAACTTTCTTCATTCTGATTATCCTCTTCATATGCATAATTTTTGTATACTATTGAAAACAAGGTTTCTTTTCAAACAAACTCACTATCCATGTTAATAGAAATTATTAATTTACCATAACTACCCATGTTAATAATACGTATACATTTTCACGTTCATGTTCTAAGATTTTTCATAAAATTAATTGAGAATTAAAATCCTTTAAAGTAAAATATAAATCGAAATATAATTATTTCATAAAAATTCCATAGAACATTGAACAGTTCATGATTAGATTACTGTGAAAAAACATAATAAATGAAAACTTAACTACATTTATTTACAAAAAAACACCATGCACATTAATCAATAAATTTAGATGTTAAAATAAGTTCAATGGTAATCGTTTATGCCTTGTTAAAAATTTATATATTTGATCATTGAATTCATTTTTTTATTTCTATATCAATTTAAATCGTCAATTAAATTCCTAAAATTGATCTTTGGAATAATTTACCAAATACATTTCAGAATTATTCATAATTTTATTATAAAGGGAGAATTTTCTAGTTTTTATAAAATCGGGATCATATTTTCATTTTCCCAATATTTTTAAACTGTGTGTGTAGGCAACTATTTTATGTGTGAAACATCAGTCAGTCAACTTAAATTTGCCTAAAAATTTAAAATCATTAGATTTTACTCTATTGATAACTATCGATGATTGTGATCATTTAACTTGATGTAATCTGATTAGAAATTAATATTATCGACAAAACTTTGAAATAACTAGCTTATTGTTTAAGTTGACAGAGTTTATTTTTTTAACAGCTTCAAGTCACCAAATATAATGTCTGGAGTAATTCCCATTTGGAATTTTGTCAGAAACCATTTTTGTGCATAGAAATGAGCATCTTTAAAACTTGCCACCATTTTTTTTTCATTTCATTCCGTTAAAGCTTCATCATGTTATTAGATTTGATCCTTCGTCCACTTCACTGTTGTCTATTATTTGTTTGCCTTTTTTTCGTAGAATACAAAGTTATCCATCACATTCTTTATCAAGAGTTCGTGCACACGCAGTATTTCAGCATACATTCAATTTATGGTCAAGAGTAGTGAATTTAGATTTTATTGAAGAAAAAGATTATTATAAACCAGCGGATATTGTAATACATTTTGGAGCTGGTAAACATGGAGATTCTATACCATTTGATGGAGCAGGTCAGTAATTATAGATTTATATTAAAACTTTTATATATAAATGAGTAAAATTCAATTATCTTACGGAATTCTACAATATTGAACATTACTTTGTAGAAAACTTGAGAATTTATGATACTTTGAGGATAATGAAACACAATTCATGCAATAACCGCTCTCAATGGTTGGAGACTTTATAAAACATGGCATAGAATCGTTCATAATGCCACAGATTCTTCACCATTTATCTTCGTCTTGATCTTCCTTTCCAGTATTCCTTCACTCATACCTTTCCATTTTTCATCTCAAACTATATTCTCTAAAATTAATCTTTCTCATTAACACTTCTAAAGCTACATTAATAAAAACTCTTTTGCCATTCACCTCATTATACTCATTCGTTCATGTTAATATTGTATGGAAATTTGGGCTAATTCAACTCTATGTCAGAATCCACATTAAGACTGAATGACTTACTAAAATGAGTACAGAAAAAGAACAGAAAAAAAAGAACATTTTCAAAAATCGATCTAATTTGCCCAAATATTATATTTATGTAATCTCTTTTTAAAAGTTTCTTATGTAGTGTAATTTTAGTTATTCAATAATAAGCTGAAGTATTAGTTAATTTAAATTAATTGCACAAATCGTTTTTGTTTATATTTGATAAACATTGATCACACTGATATTCTGTGCTAATGTGGTATGGCAACATGAACTTTGTACATACGTACGAAGTTATACGTTGCAATTGACTTGACACAGATATTCACAATGATACTGCAGCAATAATAATATTGATTTATTAAAAAGGAATTTCAACTAGAATTTATTTCTAATCTATAAACACTGAAATTAGTTTCATCTTAGATACTTCTTGATCATTATTATTAGACATTGAATTATAATTAAAAAATTTATTTAATATGATTTTGTTGGGGACGTTAGATCCCCAGAACTCACTTGGAAAAGGTCCTAATTTTGTAATCTTATTCTGAAATTTTTGATTTCTATGTTTTGGTGCCAGAGATGCCAAGTTGACCTTTAGCTTACATTTACCACTCGGAAATCCTTGACTGACATTGGTTGACGGGTTGTTTTATTACGCTATTTTTGTGGCTCTCCCAAAGGCGTTTCTATCATTGTATAAATAGGCTTGATTTGTGTGCTTAGCCACCTCGTATTTCCTAGGTATTTGTAGAATACATTCTCTACGCCTTATCAAGACTTCTTGATCTAATTAGCAGGGCCTGGGACAAACAGATTAGAATAGCCTATCATGTCGCTGTATTGTAGATGTTCGTTTCCATTTACTGAGTAAGGTGAACTCGTAATAGTTTCAAGCATATCAGATTTGACAAAATTATGTGACTTAGGCCATTCACAACTTTTTTAAAATGTTTCCTATATGATCTTGTACGGTATTTTCAATTAAATCTCTGTCTACTAAGTTTGTGTGGTGGCTCTACATAGGAGTGTCTTATTTTAATTTTAAGATTTCATTTCCAAGTCCTAATGTCTGCCATATTTGGTTTCTTCATCAGACATACCCAGAGGGATCACACCTAACATGTTCATAATAAACAGTCATAAATATTACTAACAGATACCTAAGTTGAAACCTTTATGAAACTTTTACTCAGCCATGCAACACCGGCTGATGAATGGAAGAATGATCCAAATAGTTAGATAAGATGTACTTATGAAACATTGAAGATGTTGAGAATAACCTTAGCTAATTGTATTGAACAAATTAATTTAGGGACTACGTAAATGCTTGTATAATTTTTGTTTGATTCATGTAATAATTAAATGTTTGCTACTTTTTTTCTAACTGTTTTCTCTTTACATAGGTGGAGTACTAGCACATGCTTACTACCCAACACCAGATAATGTATATTCATTTTCTGGTGATGCACATTTTGACGATGACGAAATTTGGAATGATGGACCGCACAAAAGTAATATTTATTCATTTTATTACAAACTAATTAAATTTGTGTACATAGTTCTCGATAATTAAGTTAATAATTTATAGTGAGTGAATATGCAGTATGGGGTTGTGAAGATTGTTGAATCGCTTTCGAATCACTAACCCTTTTTACTTAGAGAACCATTGAAGAGCTGGAAGCTTTAGACAGCCGTTTTGTCTTAGTGTGCGACTTCTTAGCAATGACTCCTCCTTGATCAAAAGTCGAGGTTCCGGTTTGGACGCTTAATTTATAACCCACTGATCCAGGAGGATCCAATAGCGTACATTAAGAACTTTAATTAATCCATAATTGTGAATATTTTGAGAAAGAAAAACAGTTTTCGTTTTGATATAAGATTTCAATTGAAATCCAGTGAATAGTGTTAACAACAGGACTTCAGTTAGGGAATAGTATAGATAAAAGTGAATAATAAAATCTTTCCAGTTACTTTCAAGTAAGATCACTTGTTATCAGTTGTATTCTAGGTGACTACAGAATTCTATCAATCAAGCTGAAATATAGCTACTGTTCCAAATGACACGAAGTCACACGTACTAAGTTGACATGTTACATGCATACGATGTAAAATCACTCAGAATAAGAGTCATATTGTAATTTGATAGGTAGAATTCAATCAGTACTAAAAATCTGGAAATGTATGACATTGATTAATAAATTAGTGATTGATCAGCTGAAGATATCTGTCTTCCCAGAAATCATTCTCATTGTGAATAACGTCTCAGGTGGTAAAGTTGGGTGACGTGGGCTTGAATCCCAACAGGAACCATCTATCCTTCATGATTGTAGTTATATCTTGCTGACGAGTGTTATGTAACATGAAACTTAAGTCCAATATATCCTATCGACTACCTCCAACTTTGTTTTTATACTTTTTTCTTTCTTTAGCACATCGGAATTTGATTTCTGTTGCAGCGCATGAATTAGGACACAGTTTAGGATTAGGTCATTCATCTGTACCGACTGCAATTATGTATCCTTATTATACAAGAAGTTGGGAAAAAGTTAAATTAGATCCAGATGATATTGCTGGAATACAACAAATTTATGGTAAGTATATCATTCAAATAAATGGTAGGTTTTATTAGATTTGAAAAAAATTATATAATAGCTTAATAAGCTGAAAACTATTTTTTTAGAAAATATAATAGAATTTACTGATAAAGTAGTTCTTATTAGTTGCTCCAATTTATATCGGTTATATAAATATATGTGACTATGTATGTATTGCTCATTCGGTTGGGGGACGTTAGATCCCCTGAACTCACTTGATGAAGGTCCTAATTTTGGATTTTACGTTTTAGCGCATGGGTTGACCAGTTGATCTTTAGCTTATATTTCCCACTTGGAAAATCCTTGACTGTCATTGGCTGATGTATTATTTCAGTATGTTATTTTTGTGGCTCTCCCAAGGACATTTCTATCATGTATAAATTAACTCGATTTGTGTGCTGGAAAAACTTCATATCTTCTGGTTGCTTGTAGAATATACTTTCTACGCCATATCAAGACTTTTGATATCGTTAGCAGGGCCGGGGACAATCGAATCGGAATAGCCTATCGTGTCACCGGATTAGTTGTCTTCACTCTCGTTTACCGAGTAAGGTGAACTCGTAATAATTTCAAGCATGTGACATTCTTACCTAGAAGCTTATGTACTCAGCTTTCAGCTAGCTACACGTCATATATACAGGCTAGCAATTTCAACCGACTATGAAAACCAAAACTGTTGTAGCAAGATTTAAACCTACTGACTAATAACTGTGACTAAAGTGTTTCAAATGTCAAATCATTATTTTGTTCACTAAATCACCAGATCAGTCACTAGTGAAGATATTTTAATTTAATTCACACAAATAAATCACTTATCTAGCACAGGTGTTTTTACCGGACTATCAGTCAGATTTATTGTCCAGAGACTAGAAGTAATTTGGCCTATTAATTTTTAGAATACCTTACATACAGTCGCTATTTATCTTCATCAAAATCTTTAATAATTTATCACTAGACAATATTTCTTTAGCTGACTCATATCTTCCTTGTTTATTTCAAATCCATTCAAATTTTTGTTCAATTTATCTATAAAGAATTTGACAACTTGAGCCGATGCACTTTTTTATCGGTCTATTCTGTTTTTAATTTTATAGATTATGTGAAATTTCATTCTCTTGTCACAATATCTTGTTGTATGTAAATATCAATGCGTTTATCCACTGTATATATAAATGAACTTTTATGAATTATTAAGCAGAGTAATCCTGTAAATTTATATTAATTTATTATTGTTTACAGCTGTTTAAACTAAATTTCCTAAAAACAGTTTAGTCTAATATGCATATATGTGTTTATAAAATATTATCTATTCCTTAAATAATTATATATATATATATATATATATATATATATGTCTAGACACAATACCTCTAATCTAAATTCATTGCACTTGTATAGTCTAATTTATATTGTGTTGATTATAATTTTCATTTTTATTCTTCTTCTGTTTAAGGTGCTGCTAGACCGGGTAAATTTATACCTCCTGAACCTAGTCTACCTGATATACCTCCACCGCGTAAGTTCATTAAAATTAATTAGATTTAATCCTGAACTACTCAAACGTATTAAGTAGTCATTCGTGTTTAATGAAACTGGCTATTCTAACTATTTCATATGTTGTCTAAATAGTCGTTTAAAAGTGTACAGTTGCTGGTGTAGTGAAAGAGAACACAGGTGAGGGCAACCGAATTTTATTTAACGAAAATTACAGAGTTACTCAGTAAAATAGGAAAACCATATCGTAACCGTTAATTTGCAAATCTTCAATCCACCATCAATCCATTGTCTAACATTTCACTATTCATGCGTTTCATACAAATTCCATTGTGTTCCCACTCTTCCTTTCTTGATCTTCCGCCATCTTCTGCTGCCAGACATTAAGTTTACACTCGCGTCGTATACTACTTATAAGTATCGCGCAACACACTGGTATTATATGAATTAGCAGCCAAAATACTGTCGGAAATATTCATTAGCTAAACATTCAAATAAAAGTTCCGATTCAAGTAAATACATCACTTTTTAAAAAAATTATTTATCTAGCTAATTGAGAACTAAATTTTATCGCATACAAATCATCAGTGTATTAAAATAGTCATCAAATTAACTTACACATTTAAACAATTATTTAAATAACTTGATTATGAGTCTAGAATATGTTCGAGTTATGCATAAACATTTCAATTTTTCAACAGCAATAATATTATCATCATACAATTTTATTTCTTGACTGAATTATATATGATGGAAATGAAAAGAAATTTTCAATCATATATTGAATTTATTGGATTATTATAGGTGTTTTTTTTCTGCTCAATGATAAATATTTACATGGTGTTCTTTGAAAATAATACTTGAACAGTGTTAACTCATACAATTGAACTACTATCAACTAGAAATTATTTTCTTCATTTCCTTTTTTACCGGTTTCTAAAATATTTTTAGCACCTGTAACTACAGAATCACCGAAACGAGAGAATGTTTTCGATTTTTGTAATATCAGTGTTGATGCAGTTATTAAAATTCGTAATTTAGAATTGTATGTTTTCAAAGGAGAAGTGAGTGAAATTTTTAGTTTTAAAAATTAAATTACAATACTATTAATGATCTTTTATTATCTTAATACACTGATGTAACACTAATCAGAATGAATATATATGTATATATGATGTTCTGAATAATTTCTCAGTAATATTTAACTGAATAAATAATAATTAGTTTTTTCATTATTTCCAATAACATAATCTAAATCTTGTTTGACATCTCGTAATTATTATCTGAAAATTTTCATCTACAAATGACAAAACAATTATGAACAGTGAATATGTAATAATTTCATTAGATATATGAAAATCGGATTGTCATTGGAGCCTGTGTACAATATCATTCGACTGTTAACTAATGTTCAGCTAGTCGAAAAAGAATGAAACCATTTATTGTATTTGATATTTACCTTGAGCATTTTATCCTAAATTCACTTTTAGGTTGCACAATGTAGTATATTTTTATTGATTTCGAGCATTTTAAGGACTAAATATTGCTAATGTTCACTTCTTTAACAACAACTTACAAGCTATCTGTCACAGAACTTTCAGCTGCAGGCAAAAGACATGAGACATGATTTTGATTCAAACGATTGATTGATAATTTCAGTGTTTAAAATTTATTTTTTCATGGAACATACCAATAACTTATAAATCATTAGATCTGAATGACACTACTATTGTTTCATTGAACTCATAAATTGTTCAATGTTAGATCACCAACACTGGGAGCCTGGAAGCAATGAACAGCCGTATCGTCCTAGTATGAAAATCATCAGCAGTGCACATCCATGACCCACGCACACTGGAATCGAACCCGTAACCTTCAGTCTCACACGTGAACGCCTAACCTCTAAACCATTGTGCTGGCATCCAACGGCATGTATGTACAACTTCAATCTATTTACAATATTGCGCAATTATCAGCCATTTTCTTCAGTGGATTATTGCCTCACAGGGTTTAACTCCACTGGTCAAAACTTCTCACTACAGTTCCAAGAATTCTCTCAAGAAACTAATCACTAATGAGTACATGATGATTGTCACGATAGCGTTGCAGATATTGTTGAGTTTCATTAAAATCATGAACTGTTTAATACTGATGAGTCCCATACTAGAACAATGCTTCCAGGTTTGCCATAATGGTCTAAAACTGATCAGTTCATGAAACTCGACAAACTCTTCGACCATATGCTAACTAGTATTGTTTATTAGATAACGTGTAAAAGTACAAAAGTCAACACTGAATTCAGTGTTCCGTTCAGTTATACCTAACCCAAACATGATTTCTCCAACAATTCATTTAAATGAAATGCTATGTACTAAAATCTTATCAACATCACATAACAACAAAAAACAGAAATAATTCTATACAAATTAATTCCAGTCAATACTAAATATTACTAACTATTTTTTGTTATTTATTTATTTCAAAGTGGCAATGGAGAGTAACATGGTCAAAAACTGTAACAACATGGATTACTTATCAATTTCGTGATGGTCCAGCAAAAATAACCTATTACTGGCCTGCATTACCGAAATATGTTAATTATATTAATGCTGGCATTGAACGTCATGATGCAGCGATTTACATTTTTCGAGGTAACGTTTTTCGTTGAATAATTAATTTTGACCAGATCCATATCATTTAGTATATTTACTTCCTTTTCATTATTCACCATCAAAATACATCAAAATTCGCTTGAAAAAATGATTCTATACATTAAGCATTGAAAACTGACATCATTTAGCTTGGTAGTTGATAATGAATGAATATTACTGACTTTTTAAAGAATTTTGTTATAACTAATATATTCAACATGATCTGATGATACTTCTTTTTACATATAATGAAAAATTATTATGACTTGATTTGGGCTGTATCGAACTAGTAATATCATCTAATTTTTTCCTGCCAGTCTGATATCAAAAAATAGCGTATAAAAAGAGTGACTACAAATTATATTTATCATCTTAGAAAGCTAAAATTAATGAATTCATTTGATGTTCTATGATCCAGTGTTTAGGTTAAAAGAAAAAACAAGATTCAACAATATCGTTAGGTGTCTAGCCAAATGATCGCAAAAATTTTGATTTGTATTTGAAAAAGTTAAATGATCTTTTTAGAACTTATAATACTACTTGGCAGATACCACAAATCATAAAGTTTTCATTAGAAGAGATAAACTGCATGTAGTCGTACTGAAATCCTTTGCAGACAATTTTGGCTCATCGGCCTTTGTAAAGTACTCCATAAGTAAAGTTTTGTACAGAAATCATTCAGAAACTGAATTAATCCATATAGAAGTTGATTTGGGACATCGAACCACTGAATTATTTATTTGGAACTTCATTTGCTCGCTATGAGTATTATTTATCACTTCCCGAATGATAGAAGTATGCTTAAGAAAAACGTTTATTTATAAATGATTATTCTGAAAGTCAGGTGGATTCGTGAAACTATGAATATATATTTTTATTTTTCAATTCCAAGTAGAACCAAAGAGTTTTCATATTTTTTTAACTGAATACATGAGTTGTGTAAAGCTTTTATTAGTTCAGCAATCTAATATTGAAAAGAAACTTTTCTTGTTCAATATAACATTGTAACGACTACTGAATTATAATTGAACATCATCTCAAGCATGAATATCATTGGTTTTATTCATAATGTAACAAGACTGCTGGTTGAAATTGAGAACGTATTAAAATGAACAAACGGTGTTTAATTGTGTACAGAACATCTAGACTTATTTGCTTATCACAATTATAAATTGACTTCGTTTTATTTGAGATTATATTGTGACATCAATTGCAGATAAAAAATTCTGGCTACTTTTGGATAATATGAGAATGAAACCTGGATTTCCAAGTGATGGATTACCTCTGACTGATCTTGGACTTCCATCACATCTGGAGCGTGTAGATAGTGTATTTTCTTGGGGAGAAAATCAGGCAATTTATATTTTTGCGGGAAAGTATTACTGGCGCTTGGATGAGAATGCCGGTCCATTTGGTAAAGTAATTAACAGTCCGGACTATCCTCGTCTGATAGAAGACACATGGCAGGGAGTTCCTGTTCCTACGCAAGCCGCATTTACCGGTCTCAATGGTAGGTTAACTTTTCACACTAATATTTATTCCTTATGAGGATTAGATATCACTTAACGTAACACTAAATTTCCTACGTAAACAGGAAACGACAAGCAGTGGAAAAATCCATGTAACTGTCTACTTTTTATATATGTTCATTACGGTGGTGTTTTACTTGCTCTTCCTTAACATACTAATACTTCAATCTACTATTTTTATATTGTAGTCATATTGTACGCTCAGTTTACTGAATATCTGTAAACGTTAAATTGATTTATGCATTGAACTCTTGCATAACCTATCCATCTTCCAGTATAGAGGAAACGAATGTAAGTACTACTTAGTGAAAGTGCTTAGTTCACCGAGCGATTATTCCACAACTACAATGATGGACAATAGACGAAACTATTAAATTTATTTTATTTTCATAAGCTACTGAAATATTAGTCAGTAGTATGACGCTCCAAATTAAAAATCAACCTTTTGTGTACTGAACAAAAAATAATAGTTCAGTACATAATTCTCGAAAACCTCCGATTGAGGTTATAACCCACTGACTGAAAATGAATCGCTACAAGTTGGATTTTCGGAACAACAGGCTGTATACTGTAAAATTTAACAGAGGAACGAATAAAAGTTAATTCATTTGTATTGGTTGTCTAAATCTTCCTATTGATGTTAAGAACTGCAATCGATCACGCTCTTTGTCATATGTGCGCCCTGTGAGAATCGCCTTGGTATTGCTTTCAGCTTAAAAGCATTATTGTCAGAAGTCGATAATGACTAACAGTAAAATCCAGGGGGCGCATTTCGTCCAATTCAGGATGAATTGCTTGTAACCTGAAGGAGATATCGAGGCAATCCATAAAGGATGCTCATATATGATAAAGAGACTGATCAATCGCAATCCTAAACATCAGTGAAAAGATTCAAACAACCAATACAAATGAATTAACCTTCACCCCATTGCGATGGAGGTCATAACGAAAGGTATTGGTCTCGAGTCTTTTAGTGAATAATAACTTTGAGATGCAGGTACATCCAGCTCTTGAGCCCCAAGCAGTACAAAACGCAAGTCCCATATTCCACTCCTAGCCATTATCCACCTCTTCTAAAAGCTAAGTTGCTTTTCTGAGCTTGAATCGCGTCACCAAAACTAATGATAACAGTGCAACTTGATCAATAAAATCTTACCATAGCAAAAGAACTCAAGAAACAAGAAATCGCTCACTACTCAATGATTAAACGGTTGATTTTTGATATTCATTTCTTCTTAAATTAAAAATAAGCATTACACTGTATATCCAGCTTTCAACTTATAACAGCCTTAAATAACCGTTATTTGAAATATACACACTTTATCAAACAACCAAACGTGATTTTGATTTTATTCCGTTTACTAATCGTTATATATATAGACATTGTACAAACAAATAGCATACAGGAGTAAACAACTCAACTTACTTGTTACTTTTTCAGGATCAAAAGATTTTTAAGTGATAATAACTTAAGTCATCCAGATGAAAATGTTATTTGAATAAAATTGAAAGTTGACATGAAATCAACCTTTGTAATTCAATATGTAATTACAAAGCTATTGATTTGAATTCATCAAATATTAAGGTTTTTTTTATTTGAGATCAAATATAATTTAATAGATTTTATTTTTCAAAGTAAAAAATCTTGATGCTTTATTTTTTCTCTTCTATTTCTTTACTCAATGTGAATAGATGAAACTTTGTTTTTCGAAGGCACAAACTATTATGTATTCGATAATATAGCAATGCGTACACGTCCTGGTTATCCAAAACAAGCTTCACTGGGTATACTTGGTTGTATGAAATGAATAAAAAAAAAGAAGAAATTTACAACATCATTAACTTTTGACAGCATAATAATAATAATGTTTATGTCTATTTAGTTTGCTTTCAGTCCATATCTCTATCCATTTAAATGGACTGTGAAATAATGTTAGTTCAGTCACGTTAATTAAGCCCTTCATGTTCTCTTTTTTTTTTAAAAAAATTTTGTGCATACTAACTGAGAAAATGAAATTGGATATCCATCTTACAGAAATAATAATCAAAAATGTTTTTAAAAAAGAAATCTGTGTCCTAGGTAAATAAAAAAAGAAAAACTCCGAAGTATTCCAATACACCTACGTTGTAGTTTATTGTATTCCTAATTAACCTGATTTTTTCTCTTATTCAAATTCACTTATGACTTGAATTCGCTTTCTTCCAGTTCTACTTTCTAACATCCCGCCAATCGTAAAAGATTTCAATGATGAAGTAGACTTTCAATGGTTCAATTTAGAAATTTCCTTTTTACTTCTCTTTTGCACATTTATTTCTCTTTATTTGTAAACAAAATTTAATAAACATGTGAAAATGTTTGTGTTCAAATTTTCAATGTTTCTTTTTAGTTCTTGATCGTTTTTTCCTTATAACTTTTGATGTTTCATTTGTGTAAATTCTGAAATAATAAAACGTTGATACTAAACAGAAACTTTCATACTTGTACTTATTATGGTTTTTGATAATGTCATAGTTGTGAAGATAAAAGACATTTCTATTATTATTAAATTAATTTGTAATGGTTTGGATTATGTCATTGTTGATATTGGTTACAGGATTTCGATTGAATTCAAGCACTATATTCTTAAACATAAGTGAATGTGATTAATTTGTGGTATAAAAATCGACCTCATGATGCTTATCATCGGCTATCGACTTAAGCAAATTTTAGGCGACGCTCCATTGCATACTACTTGTTAGTAGTGTCCACCACACTGGATAAAGCACTTTTCAACAGTGTACATCAAACTAGGGCTTTCAATTAACGTAGTGAAAGCGCAGTCTTTTAGACCATTAAGCTTACACGGAATTGTTTACTTTTCTAGCTTTAATTAACGCGAAAAAATTGCCATCAGGAATACGACTCGAGAGATGGTCAACATTTAAAGGAATTCTAATGATAGATTAAACTGCAAGATCGCTCATGGATGGCATCTGACAGACTCGTTTGGGGTGACGACTGGTGTCAGGCGAGGTGGCTTAGTATCACTCTTTTTTTCTCTTGATAGTCGAATGGATTATGAAGACGTCAACATTTCTGGGGAAGCACGGGTTACAGTGGTAATACATAATATTCGACTGACATACGCTTGGAAAATCCACGCTTTATATAGCCACTAAAGCCTGCTCCAAAATAACAAGTACACTAATAAATGATTAGTGAGATGGTGCAGAGAGCCAGAGTATCCACCACACTTTTCAGAATGAAGTACTTACTGGGGAAAATTCAATGTTACCTTAAATAAAAAGTTCCAATCAGAAACATTGATAATCAGTTTCTCGTGATCTCTGCTTCTGCACCATTTTTGAACTCAATGTCCATTTAAAAAAAATAGTATTACGAATCGCTTGGATGCTTTCAGCTCTATGTTTTAGTTTCCAGTTAATCTTGTTTCAAAGAAATTGAAATCTTCGTTTTCCTTAGATTGCACTGTGAGTTTAATGAATTCACTGAAATAATTGAATCTATGCAGGATGGTTACATTTAAATCAATGTGAAAATAGTATTGATTCTCATTACTTTTGATGTTCATTGTGTGATTATTAAACTTAAGAGCATAAAATGAATTCAACAACACAATTCTTATTCATCTCTTTCTATATTTTATGTTCTATTTGCCATTTACTTATAATCTCAAAAAAAAATGAAATCAACATTTCTCTAAAAATAAATAACCTGTCTAAAATTACGATTAATAATCATAAAAAATAAAATTAATAGACAAATTAAAAGTGAATTTTTAAAAATAAATATTTTATTTTATTTCTTCTGTTCACTCTGTATATGCAGACACTGTAAGAGAGTAAATAATAAAGTATGCGAAAATCTCTTCATCTGTTTATAAAACATTTTGAATAGAATAAACAGATTTAAAGATAATTCTTTCAGCAAGAAAATAGTTTTAAACTAATAGTCTATTTGTAGATTCAATGATCAATGTTAGACAGTAATTAACATAGTTACTAGTGAAGTAAAATGGCTGAAGTTTGTCGGCAATACATAAAATGGCGACATGAATGGTCAATGATTTTTAACTACATTAAATCACTCATGAAATTCCCGACTGGTTTGCTAATTTCCATTCCCTCTTTTTTAATTACTTTTCATTTTAGAATGTTAGTTAAAAGTTTACCGGGATGAAAATGATTTAATTAGGGATTTTATTTAAATTAAAGTAGTTGGAGCCAAACAATGAAAACTGCTTTCTGTGAAATAATACTTCTTCACTGTTTGTTTTAGTGATGTAAACTGACAGTTTACTGAGTTACTAGTTTCTTTGATTGAATTAGGAGTGAAAAGAATGCGAACACCTTATACTTTGTATTGAAAAGATTGATTGTAGCTAACAGTGAAAGCTAGCATGCTTATTTCGGGTACGCTCACCGAATGTGTCTGCTTCCTCGTTTTCATATTTACTGAAAGGCTTGAACCTAGTGTAGCATCTCAACATTTATTCTTTATGCTTCAATGATTTGTCATTTAAATTATTCGACCATAATTTTGATTGTGTGTGGATGCTCTATCGCTCATTACATGTCTAGCCTATTATTGCTTGACTATAAATACTTATTCATTCTTCAGCTCATGGAGAGATGGCTAACTAGCCTACTCCAGTTCGCTTCGCTTCGCCTGTACGCCTACCATTCTCATGTCTGTCTGTTCAGACGAATGCGTGAAATAAATTCAGCCGCTAAACTAATACCTCTTACTTCAAACAGTAAAGTCTTATTCGAAATAGGAAGAAGCCTGTTTCATAAACTCCAATGCTTATCACAGAAGTTGGTCATAACTTGTTTGAAAGTAACCAGTAGAAACTCGAAAATTTAATATTTTTCGTTGATGAACAGTCGAAAATCAGGAAAACTGACCCACTCGGTCTTATTATACCATATATCACTGTATTATTATGCATCGGGGTTTTATAAATTGTACAAAGTAATTTTAAGTTGGTTAGATGAATCAAGAGAATGCTAATCGATAAAAAATGATACAAGGTGACTAAATGACTGATGCCCACATGACCAAATTATTGACATAAATGGCCCTCAAAATGATTTATTACTAATCACAAACCATTAGCTAGAAGAATAGGTTTTGTTGTGATCTGATAAATATGGTACGTATAAAATTCCACTACATAAATATCATGATTAGACTTCACAAACAACTGACCGAAATCTTTTTTATAGGTTGCTCATTCTCCAATGAATTAAGTCCTAACTGTTTGTCCCGATTCCACACTATAACATCACACCGTCAAATTATTCTTAATCAAAACCAATCAATTCTTCACTTCATGAAATATTAGTATCTGTTTAGTTTGTCAATACTCATTAGCGAGACTATAAACTGTGGGCGACTTTTCAACAATGTCAAAGTGGTTTTGATAGAATCCACTGACTTGCGTTAAAGAGGATTTTCGTCATCCTACTTAACCATATAGACGAATGAATTTCGGGCCAGAATTAGTATTTATAATTTTATTGGTCCACTCATGAGTTTTAGTTTCACTGAGAATTATCCACTTTCCATCTCTTTGGTCGCTTTGTATGGACAGTTAATAGGATCCTCTTATAATATAAACATACTTACAGTGGTTAATCTGTAAACCAGTTTCATAAAAGGGAAAGCTTGATTTCCAATAACAATAAAACATCATTACATCAGATATACGAAAACTAACTGATTGGTGTCTATTAAAAACAGGATGAAACAATTATCTAAACCTCTGCTATTAGGTAACCATAAAATTCAGAATTCAAAAACAAAAACTCCACTATAACATGAATGAATACTACTTACAAAAATTATTACTTTTTTTCATTCTTTACATATTTTCATTGAGTGAACATGTCAGTAAAGTGATCTATTTTATTCATTTAATTTTGTGACTTTCAGTTGACCAAATTCATAGGTGTATTCTTTATATAAAATAAAAAGACGACAAATTACAAGATGCCTCTAAATTTAATTCGGTTTATTTACTATAACTTTTTTTCTTTCTGATTTATTTAATTTGAATTCAAATTACCAAACTGTTTGAATACATCTGGTTAGTCACTGAATTTAATAATCACAAAAAAAAAATAAAAATCACTATGGTGCCATGTATGCTTGTGTATGTTGCGTATGCATGAACGTGTATACGAATATTTATGAAACAGACTTTGTGAATTATATGTATTCAGACACATACATAGGTATACATATAACTACACTTCTTTCCAGTACAGATTTACCTGAATGAATACGGGTTTGAAAGACATGGATGTGTGGTATAAATAAAAAGGGAGTAAATTAAATCGTATGTGAAAGGGGAGTGGAAATTTTTTCATTTAAAATACAAAAAACAGAGATAACTTACAATATTCAAATGTAAAGAAATTTAAAAAAATTTAATAAGTTCAGAAAACGGTCTTTTATTCAAATCTACTAAATTTTTTTAAATATTCTTGTCAGATAGTCGATTGTATTGTTTTACTGTTCTAATTTGTCTTTTCCTAACAAAATTCTATGGAATTTTGAAATGATGATAAATATTTCCGTGGTGGTGTTTATGAAAATTAAATGAAATTGAACAATATAAACAAAAGAAGTAATAAACTGAATTTAACTTCTAAATCCTTTACTTGGTATATGGGTTGTTCTGAAGATCATGTTGTTACCACGAAATCTAAAAAATTTAAAAAATAATATCGCTTCATACATTTTTAACTTCTCCTTTACATTATTAAGTAAGTAAATAAATGTTTCAATACGAAATATTTT